GCTTCGCACTGCATCACATCACATCGGCGAATAAATTCTCTCTCGATCATGATTAATGCGGGTTTTTTTTCTCTTTTTTTTTTTTTCAATGAACTTTCTTGTTATCTTATCGTATGGTTGTTATATGACATAACTTATGTTGACTATTTCCATAATTGTGCTCCGAAGTGCCGAGATTTGTAATTAATGTGGTGGTTGTCGGACCAACTACATTTGAATTGAAATCTTGTGTTCTGCGAAAAGTGAAAATTCTTTCACTAATTTTTTTTAGTCCTACCTTTACTATTCTATTCGATAAATTATTTTTTATTTATATTTTTCGTGTCTCATTCAACAAATCTTATGTTTTCATTAACTAATAATTATTTTTTTATAAGTACGTGCACCAAGTTTGACATAATTTATTCAATCTATTCATACTTTATTCAATCATCTATAAGTGCGTGCATCAAGTTTGACATAATTGGTAAATAGCATTACTCTAGAAAAATGCTAGAGATCTAACTACCATTGTTCTAAAAAATTGGTTACGACGAAAGTAAAGAGTAATTAACAACAAACATCCTTATCGTTTGTACATGTTGCATAAATAATCCATACCATTTCAATCTTGACATTTACACCCTCATTTCAAACATTTCTCGCGGAGTTGATCCTTTCCGTTATGTTCTGTTAAATCTTTTTCATGAAATATAGATAATTGGTACAAAACGTCCCTATTATTTGTTTTCGTTATGCAAATCGTCCCTATCATTTCAATTTTGACATTTAAGCACTCAGATCAACCTTTGTTTGTGCAAAATAACTTTACTATCTATTTTCTCCATTAAAGTATTGTAAAATGACTAATTTACCATACTCTTTAAATAAACAAATAGAAAGAAAAGAAATGATATAAAAAAATTTGCATCTAAAGTTCCAAGTTTTTTAAAAATTACAAACAAATCTCAAGTAAAATAATTTAAAATATTATAAAAAAAGAAAAAATATTTTATCTTTTCAACTAATCCATCTACACATACACCCATCCTCTACCATCCACCACCTCCACCAAAATAATTAAAAAGGGAATCAAAAGTATTTAAAAAAACTAAAAAAGTAAGAAAAGAATTGAAAATAGAAAAATTTAAAATTAAATTTAAACAAATGTTGATTGCTCCTAATCTAAGTTTCTTTTGCCTCATATATAGAAATTTATTTATTCTTAAACAAAATCAGAACAAATTCAAAAGCTGACGCAACAGTTATATATGTATATATGTGTGTACGTAATCAACAACAAGAACAAAAAAACAAAAAATTACTGAAAATAGATAATTTTCCTAAAAAAATTATATAATTTTACTGAAAACAAAAAGATACTAGAATACGAAACTTGATTACAAAAAAAATAGCTAAATTCCTTGCGGTGGCATAGTGGGATGACGAGAATGAGTGGTGGTGGGGATGGTTGCGGCGGCGATTGATGATACGGTGGGAAATTGGATGAAGAAGAAGCACAATTGTTTTTATTTTTTTATTTTTTCTTACTTTTTAAATACTTTTAATTATCTTTTTTATTACGTTGGTGGTGGTGGTGGTGGTTGTTGTTGTGGAGGACACAAGTTAGGAGTAGGAGTTGGGTAGGGGTAGGTGAGTTAATTGGAAAGATTTAGTTTTTTAATGTTTTAAATTGTTTTACATGAGACTCGTTTATACTTTAAAAAAAAAAATTTGAAAGTTTAGATGCAATTTTTTATATTATTTCTTTTTTTTTTTCCTACTTGTATATGTAAAGAGGGTGGTAAATTGGTCATTTTACAATACTTTAATGAAGAAAATGGATGATAAGAACATTTTGCGTAAAGAAATGTCGATCTGAGTGTCCAAATGTCAAAATTAAAACGATAAGGATGATTTACGTAGTGAAAGCAAACGATATGGATGTTTTGCGCTAATTACCTATATTTCACAAAATGATTTAATGAAACATGATGAAAATGACCAACTTAACAAGAAATGTTTGAAATAAGGGGATAAATGCCAAGTTTGAAACAATAAGAACTATTTTTGCAATGAGTGTAATAAGGATTTTTGTTAATTACCCTCCAAAAGTAAATGATCAAATGCCAGAAGGTACGCTAATGATGATAAAATATAATAAATATGAAAACAAAAAATTAATTAAACCATAGTAACGAACTCGAAAATTTTGTCTTCAATAGATGAGTGATTTTGATCGGGCCTACTAAATCCTCATTTTTATAGGCTATATTCGTGATATTTCTAGCTAATTTCGTTGATTTAACATTGCCGTTAGAAACCTCCCTTATCGCCATCTCACACATACCAACAGAGACGGATGCATACATTTTAGGTTAGGGGGACACAATCAAATCTTGTACAAATCAAATATTTTGTTCTTGATTTTAAATGATTCATACCTGGATTGAGACAATGCAGATTTACATTTTAAAAAATATTTATTCATTTATATTTTGCTAATCATTTTCATCCATTTGATTTCGAAGAGTCATTTTTATTAATGTTTTGTTTATCACAAGAAAATGCATATTTATATTTAAAAATCTTATAAAGTATTTGATTCAAACAATCAATTCAAATAATCAAAAGGAAAAATATATAACTAATATCCAATATTAATAATCAATTAAATAAACACAATTCGTTAAATATAAGTGAAATTGAATATAACGAGTTCAAACACATTCTATATACACGGTTTGATAAGGAAAAAAAATGTAAATTTTGGTTCTAATTACTTGAAAATTTGATTGAAAAATGGAGATTTGTAGTAAATGTAATAATTTGTAGAGAAATTATATACACATTTTAAAAAATTAGAAGGTTAAGATTTTGTTAAAAGGCATGAGGAAAATAGTAAAAGAGAGCAAGCGAAAAGAGAAAAAATCAAATTTATTATGATTTTGCCCCTATTTGGTGGAGATTAAAATCAAATTTTTAATAAATTTTGATAAAAGTTAAACAGTTATTGATTCCATGACTTTGATTTAGATTAAAATTTAGATTTCAATCGATATCAAATATAACTTTATCAAAAAAAAATCTCAAAAATTGAGGGGGTCACTGCGTCCGCCCTTGTATACTAACGATCATTTGATACTCTTCTTAAACTATAAAAGGTGGCATGATTTCTCCGTGGCCATTGCGATGTGAGAATAAGTAGAATGAACATCAAAGTTATATGAAAACGACTGAATAGATAATATCCGTACATCATACGGTATTTGTTTTATATATATCAGCTTCTCATGAATGACATCTCTTCATCTTAGTATAACAAGTGTACGCATACGTCCTCATCCTTCCTAAAATTCAAGAGTCAGTGAAGGGACGTGGGTATACAAAAAGGGTACATGAACCATTTGGGAGATGTTTATTACGACAATTACAAATATTTTAGGTAGACATGCAAAGGAATTTGGATAAAGGATCATACAAGTTAACTACTCAAGTTACATATATAGCGTGAACTATCAATAACCAACCCTCAATCTTAGTCAAATCATAGTGAAAGAATGCAAACGGTAGTGGTTGTGTAGCATCCGCCCCTCCAAGACGAATTTATCTTCCCCAATAGTAAATTGGATTCATAAATTTCTATTTTTGTTTTTAGAATAAAAACATTTTTCAAGACAGCGACTTGCCAACAATTGTTATGTTGGAGAAAGCCATTTGCCACCAAATTTTTATGCAATAATACCACAATTACTATAAACTCACAAACAACTACCAAAATAAAGCCCCTGTCTGGTCCGGATAAAAATCAGCTGTTTGGTCTGAATTAAAATTCGATTTTAATTCAAGTCAAAGTCAAACAATCAATATTAATCACATCTTTCATGGGTCCTACAACTTTTCAACGACACATTTCAAAAACTTTTATCACAATTTACTAAAAATCTAATTTAGCCATGTTTGTTTCTCATTTTTCATATATAAAAATGAAAAATATGATCGTTATCCATTATATCAAGCCATCAATTTTGAATTTCTATCTCTTGTGTGGGGCCCAATAACGGATATATTTTTTATTTTCATTCTACAATAATGAGAATCAAATAGGCCCTTAATCCCCACCAAACACCCTCAAAATCAGATTTTTTTTTGTTAGATTTTGATTTAAAAAATTGATCAAATGTGTGATTAAAAATTGTGTATTTCACGAAATATATGATTAAAATTAATTATTGATTTTGATTTAAATTAAAATATAGATTTTAATCCATTAAAGCGGATATTTCTTTGTTTTCTTTGTAATAATTAATTATTTAGACCTTGGTTGATATCAATTAAAATTTAAATTTTTATCAATGTCATAATTAACAATTAATTTTAAATACATATTTTATGAGATCCACAATTTCTCAATCACTTTTATCAAAATTTATTGAAAATCTAATTTTAATCTTTATCGAAGAGAATATGATTTTTTTTAACCTCGTTTGTAAACAAAACAAAACAAAACAAAATAAAATAGGTCAAGAGTAAAAAGAGAGAGAAAAAAAATGGTAATTTGATTTTGTTGCATGGAGTTTATGCGGGTCCCCGTAAGGCTGCACACAAGTTTTGGCTTCATCTCTATCGCCTTCCAATTTCCTCCCTGTATTCTGCCGCTTCAAAACTCTTCCACCGACCATTTCTCTCTCACTTTCTCTTCGCCGTGGACATAAACAAAGAGGTGAAAACGTGTAAGCAATAATCTGCTCACCTACCTCTCCTTCCTTCCTTCCCTCCTTCTTTTCAACATTTTTTAATAATCCTCCTGCATTGCTGTTGAAGGGTTGTGGAACACGTTACACAAACCCCATTCTGAGTTTATCTCCTGCTGTCAATTAAATTTTACCTAACAAGAAAAATCAGAAGAAATTTCTAACAATTAATTGCCCTCTCTCTGTGGGGGACACAGGCATATTCTTTCTCATGAATCTATGTTCGTGTGAGTACTATACTTCACATTGGGGTTGGCATATCAAGACATGGCTTTGAAGGTTGCGCCTATCTGGGTTTATAGCACCAATGATAGAAAAAACTTCCCATTTTCTGAATTGGGCTTCTCAGATTTGGCGTGTACAAATGGAGGGAATACTGCTTTCTTGAATTTGAGGCTTCGAAGAAATTGGGAGTGTTTGAGTGTGTTCTCTCAGAGGGCGACCACACCCGTAGAAGATGAGATCCCTTTGACACCTGGGATTGACGCCCCTGGTGGAATTGAAAAGGCCACTCAGATCGCTGAGGGCAGGAGGTTTCATAAGGATTTAAACTCTCTTCCAAGTGAGTCTATGCCAAACAAAGATTACCATTTCTTGTTGGGGGGAGGGGGGGTGGAATTTTTTTATTTTTTATTTTTCCTTTTTATGTTATTTTAGATTGCAATTGAAATATTTGAGCTCTATAATGCCGGCCAACACATGGTTTCTTAAAAGCAGTTGGTTAGTCTTACTTTGGATCAAGTAATAATTAATTATTCAGAATTATGTAATTGGTGGCAACATTTTCTGTATTATCGGGATAGTTGTTTTATTTTCTGTGCTAGCAATGCAAGTTTCCATTTTGTTATTTATAAATTGCAGATTGTGTAAAGTTTTGGATTGAAAACTGTGCAAATTTTGGCCTTAGATTCATCCGTGATAGTCATTAATTAGTTGGTGATGGCTGTGATTGATCTGTGATTTATTTTTGTAATGTTTATTAGTAAGTCGTAGTTGCTTAGCTAATGATTGAGCCATTTCTTAGGTGATGTGTTTCTGTCTGGATGGAACTTTCGGGTTGCGTATGATTAAGTAGTTGGAATCTTGCTGATCTATCTAATGATTAAGACATTTCTCAGGTGATGTGTTTCTGTTTGGACGGTCTTTAGTTAGTATTTGTAAGGGGTTCAGAGGAACTTTCTGGTTGCTTATGATTGCCTTTTTCTACTCATGGGGATTATCCTCAGTTGGGAATCTTTCTACACGAAGAAGAAAGTGACTGATAATCATTTTATGGACCCGCCAGGATGTTCATCAAAATCAAGACATTTTCTTGACCCTAGCTTCTAGTTTTCATCCATGTACATGCATTTGTGATATAGTTGGTCATGAAGATTGTGTACACTTGTCATTTTCGTAAAATGTAAACAAGAGCTTGTCTTTTACTAAGTAGAAACCAGTTTTTTTGTGGCTGATGGTATATCGGTAGTTAATGACTTCCCAGGTTTCCCTCTAATAAATATTAATTTGTATCCACTGTGTCCACGGACCAGGGATACTCTAAGAATTTGCTTACTCCAAGATTTCTTAACAATAGTGATTTAATTGATTTAATTTATCTTACTTTTTTGCCTATGTGTGCATTTTTTATGACTTGATATGCTTCATTTACAGTAAAAGCTTATCCGGAGTGCGAAACTGTCCCATGTGACCAGTTTGAGGCTGCATTCAAGGTGTAATAATTTTTCACTAGTGCACATTTAGATTTTCTCAGTCATCTTGAGTTTTCTGAAACCCCTATTGTATTAATTCCCATTTCTCAGGCTGTTGAATTGTGGTTGGTGGACAAAGCAGTACTTCCCATTGAGAATTCTGTTGGGGGTAGCATCCACCGTAACTACGACTTGCTGCTCCGTCATAGGCTTCACATAGTAGGAGAAGTTAAGTTAAAAGTGAATCACTGCCTTCTAGGACTGCCTGGTGTTAGAAAGGAGGAGCTAAAGCACGTATTGAGCCATCCGCAGGTTATCATTTTCCTTCATCTCCACACGCTGAAACACTTCTTTCTTTCTACATTTTTCCCCTGAGAGTTACAAGTGATACATAAGCTGCTTTATCCATGACAAGAAAATTAAAATCTATGGAGTTCAAAATATGGTGATCAGGTAATCGAAATTGGATTGTATATACTGGTAATAAAGAAACTATTTGAGGTCCATGGTAGAACAAATATTAGCATGTAAATTTATATGAAATAAGAAATCTACAGATGGCAAGATTACAAAACGCAGAATCTATAATTTCAAATATAGTATCTTAAGATGCACGGAATGAAAGTATGGCCCTCTTTTACTGTGCAACAAACTTTTTTCTCTCTTTTACTTGACTAGACATTCCAAACTTTTGGTGTCCTCAAACATAATAAGAACATTTAATTCTGGTGTTTTCAGGCACTTGATCAATGTGAGATAACATTAAACAAGTTGGGTGTTACCAGAGTCAGTGCCGAGGATTCTGCTGGTGCTGCTCAGGTAATATTTTGAGTGCTCTGTAACTCATAAACTTTCGTAAGCCAATTTAACACTAGAACAGGTTGTAGCCTCCGGAGGGGTGAGAGACACTGGAGCCGTTGCAAGTGCTCGAGCTGCAGAAATCTATGGGCTTGATATTCTTGACCAAGGAATTCAGGTGAGGCTTTTGGCTGATTTTCCTGTCAAATAGGCTGCGTTTGCATTCAATGCATGTTTGGTGTGCAGTAGTAGACTTGAATGGACAATATTATAGAAGAAAAAGAAGCTAAATTCTTGTTCACCATTCTATGTAGTATTGTGTACCTAACATGCTGTTAGTGCCCATCGTGCTTATCCATTCTGGTGTTCAGTATGTCCAGTTTTCAAGTGTTAGCCTTGACTTTGTACTTTTGTGATACTTAGTTAAGGGTTTTATGCTATCTTGATTTTTAAGCTACATGCTCTGTATTATTATGGAAGTTATGTTTATAGAATTCAGTTCGTGCATCCTCTGTAAGATGTACTTTATATTTCTTTCAAAGTGAAAGGAATTAGTCGAGATAATGAATTCATTGGATATTTGTTTTCGAGTTTGATTACCAGCATTTTTCCCTATCAATTTCTTGTAATCCCTTCTATCTGGATTTTGACTCAAATTAATGAAATGAAATAAAAGGGAAACAAATAATGTTACCATAAAGATTGAGAGTGTTGGGTTGTAATTTAGTGGACCAATGTCACATGGATCAACAGGAATCAAAAGGGAATAGAAGTGTGAAGATAAAATGACAGAATATCTGCTCAGTGGAAGAATTGGAAAAGGAAAATGAAAGAAAAGGTCAAAATGAACAAGGAAACAAAATCTAGGGGTTGATGAAGACTTGCCCATTTTTCTTGAGGGACTAGGCTATATATAATGACCAATGCATTAGTTTATCCCATGGGCAGAGAGCTAAATAATAGGCTGCTGATGAGAAAGAAAGAAGCGTGTACTTGAGTATATTAGTTTTGCATAGAAAGAGGGAGACTTAAGGGAGCATGAAGAGACTGTCGGGTGTAGAGACTAGATAAAAAGTGGTATGAGCGTTGAGCGTACTAATTTTTGTTAAGGAGAAGTTAAGAGGGTGACAAAAGTCGCATAATTGATGTTCTGATTGTGAAGTGATTCTCCTTCTCTTGTCGTTGTCGACTATTTGCCAAACCACAGTTAATTTGCATTTTACTCTTTCTTGCTCGTCTTCGAGAGTTTTCTTTCCACTGCAAACATTCACTGCATGTTTAGGGGGTTTTTTCCCAGTACCTTCTAGAGATTCGAGGAAGGAAATTTGGAAAGGAAAAGATACCTTACCTGGTCTCTAGTGGTTCTTCACAGTGAGGAACCTTTTCTCCATGTTTCAAAAATCTAGAAAAAGGATGCCATTATTATGCAGTTTACTATTTCAAAAAATCACAAGCCTTATGCGCATAGGGTTTGCGCTTGCAAGAATGGGAAACTGAAATGTTAAATTGGTTACATGACTTCCTTAATTCTTGTCTCTGATTATCCCTAGTTTGCTAGGATTTTAAATTATTTCTATTTCCCAACCTTACTACTATTGCCTTTTTTGACTTTATGGAGCAAAGGATTTCAGATCCCTTCTCTTTCTCTCTGATTTCCAGGTGAAATCCTCTTTAGATAGTGAAAGGGCTTCTAACTCAGTTTACCATCTATGATATAGCCTTTTTGGGAATATTATTCTTTTCCTCGTGTAGCCATGGTGATGATATAATGTTACAATCTTTAAATTTTTTTTTAATTTTGTGATGCACCAAAACAGGATGACTCTGATAACATTACCCGTTTTCTGATACTTGCAAGGGAACCTATTATCCCAGGAACAGATAGACCTTTTAAGGTATCATTCTTTATTCAGGCCCATTTGATCATTTTTGTGAAGATAGAAGTAACTCTTGTTTTCTTTTCCAGACGAGTATTGTATTCACTCTGGAAGAAGGACCTGGGATTCTTTTCAAGGCCTTAGCAGTGTTTGCACTGAGGGACATTAATTTATCAAAGGTAATTATGAGAATGATTTAAACTACAGTTCCATTTTCACTGTCTATAATGGCTTTCATGGTTGTTTGTTTTCTGGAAAACGAATGTACAGATTGAGAGTCGGCCGCAGAAAAGACGCCCGCTTAGGGTGGTTGATGACTCCAACAAGGGGAGAGCCACGTGAGTGTCATTTTATAACTACTAATATTACCAGTGTAATATGCTTTGACTAACAACTTCGACTTGTTTATTGGACTCTTTTAGGTAATTTAGTTTTCTTCTTTTCCTTCCTACAATTGCTATATGGTAGTAGGGTCCTACACCTTCTCTTTTGTTCAAGAAAATGCTTCTTTAGAAAATACATTGAAGTGCATGCCGGGCAAAATCTTATAATTTTTCAAGTATAATTTTTGTTTGCTCCACATAGTGCTATGCATAGCTTGAGATACTGCTATCATTAACTTCAGTACGCTGTTACCTGTTCCATCTTTCAAAATTGAAAAGGAGATTAAGAACGTGTAGTAACATTCTTCCATCTGCCTGTCCTGAAGTGTTGAACAGGAAGAATGACAAATGGGTAGTAATGAAAGATATGAAATACCATTTTAGCAGATAGGCAATCAGTGAAAGATCTCCTTGCTTTCCAGTAGCCAATATTATTTTACTCGAAACGTGTGCGTAGCCTAGAGGACAAAGTACAGGAACAAAAAGTACTTCAATAAATTCACTTTAAGGAGTCAATAAATTTTTGTTGCTTAAGTCAACATAAATCAACATGCATGCTATTGAATGCATAGAAGTGACTAAATCCCAATTGCAGGTACTTCGATTATCTCTTTTACATTGACTTTGAAGCATCTATGGTGGAGCCTCGTGCCCAATACGCTCTGGGGCATCTTCAGGTTAGCTTTCCTTCCCTTTTTTCCACCTTCAACGGGGGTGTGCTGGTGAATTTAATTTCACTCTAATCCAAAGAAATGCAAAATAGATACAACTCTAGGATGATTGTAATGCCAGTAGACCTTCGATAATTAATATCATGATGAGATTTATGCGGACCTGCGATAAGCTCACATGTAGATGGTCTTTACTCTTAGGCAAGATGGTCTCAAGACTGATTCCCCTAGAATACCCGCCCTGGGTGTATAAATTTGCCCATGGTAAATATTTTGTGTATATTCGTGTTACAACTTATGAGGGTTATACTCATGTAACTCTTCAATCTACAGGAATTTGCAAGGTTTCTTCGAGTTCTTGGTTGCTATCCTATAGATACAGTTAAATAGCCCCTGAATTGGACCAACTGGTTATCCTGTATTTACTCAATTATAAACCAACAAGAAAGGAATGATTCAGATTCATGAGAAGACACAATCTTCTTTAGGCTAAGAAGCAATTTCCAAAAACTTGGTCTGAACTCTGAACAGTACACATTGGATATCTTTCTCCAACAGGGTGTTATTGTCTGTTTCTTTTACAGTTTGTTTTACCTTCAATTAGGAGGCCTTATTAACTTGTATACAAATGGAGACAGATGTTCCCAGAAACGTTTATCTGTAGCTGTAGAAGTTTATTGACCAAGGCTATCGGTGGTGATGATTTGTAACCAGAGAATTTGAACAAATCTTCCAGTGGTCATAGAAACCTATTTTCCAACAAGTTCTTTAGTTATCCAGATGGTTTTCTGCCTGTTTATTTTTTCCCTGCACCATTTTGAAGTTTATCTTGGCCTAAAAAAAGTTCGAGACGTCAGATCAGTACAAATAATTGGGCAACAAGCTTAGTACAAGAAGGGTCTTGCAGGCAATGGAAACGCTGGTATTTGCTAGTTCCATGACCAAAACTTTAGTTTGAAATTATCGTCAATAATCCAATGCACATAAATTGCCAGCTCCTTGTTTATACTGAGATTCCATTTTCTAAACAGGTCTAAGATTTCGTGAACGAATTCCCTCGAAAATGAATTTCGAGACCATACAATGTAATGTGGAACTTTTGACAGTTACTCTTTGACGTAGATAAGTACGGTTTGATCTTTAAATATAAAGCCAAACATAGTTAATTCCGAATTGAAACTCACTACTGCATTCTGACTAGATTAAATCTCAGAGGAAAGGTTGCAAGTACTTATTGATAATGCAGTAAAATTCATCAGAGAAAAGCTCGCTGAGTGCTCAAAAACATGTTAATACAGCATTCCGACAGGATAAAAACTCTACTGGCAGATACTACATGCCTGGCGTTATTTATTTACCATAGCTGAACTATTAACCCCAGAAATGAAAACTAATGCCTTCAGCACATCACCATCTTGAGCGCTTGTTCGTTACTCTTTGCTCTTCAATTCCTTCAGAAAATCTGCGTGATCCACCAGAGCCTAAATACAGAAGAAACGGTGAAAGGAGCTTACATGAAGATGAAGCTATCACAATGAGCTAACCAATGTTCAGAACAAGTCACAGTGCAACCAGTAATGATCTATTTTGTCTCATTTCATATATAGCCTCCAAAACTGAGGCACGTAATCTTAACCATGAGCACACACATGGGGGTGGAAGAGAGGTACTTGAATGCTACAGATCAGTGGAAAAGCGAAACTCTAAACAGATAATGCACCATTAATATTAATATCAAAATCCATGTTACAGTCTGGTTCCTGTTAACTTACTGTTTTCCACCCATCTGGATCTAGGAAAGAAGTGATCTTAGTATTGAGTCCAGGAACTGGTCCTGGTTGCCTAGTTATCTTTCCTCCAAGCTCTTGGGTTACAAGATTTACAACCTCGGCACTTTTATACACATCCTCAGTACTGATTGCAACCTAGAAATATTATTACATTCACCATGAGGAAAGAAGATGGATGATTACAAAAATGAAGAATTTTCACCAGCATAAAACAAACCTGTCCATATGCATTTCCTTTAGTATATTCAGTCACGCCGTAATTGTATGTCAACTCAAGGACAGTTGTCTCATATTCATCAGCGTATCCCATCATTGCTATGGTGTACTGAAGAGTATAACAACATATGTTGTCACTGTGTTAGCAAATCCCAGACGAAAATAAAAATGTTGAAGTTCAAAGGACAATTTGATTTCGGTTGGTCATACTTTTTGATCTGGTCTGTCAGTTTTCTTCAAGAGTTTCATCCCCAATGCCTGCGACATAAAGAGTGATACGTATCAGCATATTTTCAGATAAGGGATAGATATGTGTCTCAGTTCAGACTGCACATACATATTGAAGTATCTATATGGAAGTCGAAGGAATATGGAAGAGAGACTGTTGATACCGTTATTTTTGAAGGATGAAAATGGAACTTTCTAATTACATGCGTGCTTCCGTAAAGTGCTTGTGTGGAAGTGATAATTTGAAAATCAAGTTTTTCCAAACTCATTTTCAACCACACATTCTCCAAAAAAGTAAAAACATTTTTCACATTTCCTCATAACTCATCCTTACTTTTTAGCCATAAATTCTCCGAAAAAATCACTTCTAAAATAATCACTTTCACACAAGCTCTAAATATTTCACCAACTTCCTACTTTTTTGTCTTATGACAATCTCCATGATGGTTGATAGAAGTACTAATTCTTGGAAATACACATGATGGACATTTCGGTAATTTATGCACATGGACACTCACAAGAAGAGTATAGATAAGACTACCAGAAATAGATCAATTGAAGAGGTAGCTTCAAAAAATAAACCAAAATTGTACAAATTAAAAAGAAAGAAGAGTTCACCTTCTCATAAAATTTTATAGAACGATCAAGGTCACCTACACGAAGCATCACTTGACAGAGTGGTTCAGGAGTTGGGCCGCGTTGAATAAGTTCAAAAAGGTAGCCATCAGGATCCTTAACAAATGCAATGACAGATGATCCACCTTTAACCGGACCTGGCTCTCGTGTGACTGTTCCTCCCTTGGACTTTATGTCTTCAACCAGTTTGTAAACCTAATGGATAGAAACAGAAAATGCCAGAAAAACTAAATTAGGCAATAGCATCATAATATGGCCAACAGACAAGCACTTGCACTATTGGCCAAAGAAAAAGCAAAAAAGATAAAACATTTACATCTTGAGTTGCAATGGCAAAATGTCCAAATCCAGTTCCAATGTCATATTTATCAATGCCATAGTCTGTGGGAATAACATCATAAAGAACCAAGCACATATTATGACTAACCAATACGAAAGAAATAATTCTCTAGATTAAGAATGGTATTTACTGGGATATCCTCACCATTTGGACAGTAAAACATAAATTTCTGATTGATTGGATGAGCAAGTGTCTTGTGCGGCTGTGTGTGAGCATTTGTGAGAGAAGAGGGATGGGGAGCACAAAGTTTACTCTAGTCAATCAGCTTTTGGTGTGTAATGTGCAACTTGTAAGTATAAAAGAAACGTTTGTTAACTATATCACAAGCACTCTATTAACTGCCAATGCAGAAGCTCAAAATCGAGTGATACATAATGAACCCACAACCAAATAACCATGTGAAATCTAGAACTTCAAAAGTTAAATAGTGATTGATAATGTCGAAATTGAAAAGCCTGAACATACTGTATGTCAATTCCACCGCAAAGTGAGAGTCTTCAGGGCCAAACCCAAGAAAAGCATTTGAATATTTTTCTTCTGGAATGTCCCTCTTCCTCAATAGCTTCATCCCAAAACATTCAGTGTAAAACCTAAGACATTAAAGAAAAAGTTAGTAACCTGAACTAAAAAAGAGTAAGGATACCACATCTTAGTGCAAACAAAAAGCATAATATTTCTCTGTAGGGGGATTCGAACTTGATGGTGCGATCAAGGTCTCCCACTCGATACACAGCATGCAAGAATCGGTGCTTATCCTTCTTTGGCCATTCCAGCAACTCAACACTTGGGACAACTGGTGGTGCAGCCTCAGCCATTGTTGTGTTTGCTGAAACAAATTCTTTGTTACTTTTGTGGTAGATATACACAAATTGATATCAGTAACAACTAAGATTAACCACTCTTCCACTCAACTATTGAACCTCTTTTCTGTAAGAATTGCAATAGTGAGAATTGAACACTTCAAAACTTGGAAACAACTAGAATAAAAATCTTAGGAACAAAAAAGTAAATCTTATCCACCTCACTTCTTCAGTTCTTCTCCTGCTTAAAATAAAAGTTCGAATACCAAAATTTAGATAAAACCTAGAAAGTAAATAATAGATTTAATTTATCATTTCTTTCCCTTAACTTTGTATTTCCTTTCTGTTGGCTTATATATATAACCACATGAGACTTTCGAACTCCCAGAATAGTATACTATAAAGAAAGGAAAAGGAAATATATGATCTTTTTACTCAAAAAGTAAAAATTATTTCTTTTACATTTCATATAAAGTGACTGACTAGTAACTACAGACATTTAATTTAGATTCGGAAATTCTAGTATTTCCCTAGCGACAAGAAAAACTTCTACTACGAACAGAAATTGCATGGTTCCAAAGACTACGTTATCATAAATTCCTATCTATAAAAACCCTACCAACTACGTTATCATAAATTCCTATCTATAAATGAAAATTTCAGGTTTAAAATGCAAATTTAAAGATGCAACAAAAATCATTTCCAGAAAAATTAATTTAATTTTCAGAATCCAGCATACAATCAATTGTAAGAAAAATTAGAGCAGAAAACCAAAAATTAAAGACCCAGAGAGCATCGAAATTTACAAAGTACGCCACGGAATTGAGAAAAGGATGGTGTAAGAAAGAGCTTACAGAGAGAGAGAGAGGTAGCGTGATCACTGATTAGAGAAGAAGCAGCGTGAATGAACTAGAAAATATCTACATTTGTAATGCTTAACGTTTAAGGGTTAGCTAGAGTGACGGGCTGTCACGTAATTCTGTCACAGTTTAATCAGCCGGTGGAATAATGGAATATGAAAGTAAATAAATAAATGCTGAAAACTTTATTCAGCACACGCTTGATACGGATTAAAATAAAAAATTTAATAGATTTTAATAAAAGTTATTAGAATATGTGACTAAGAAATGTAGATTCTATAAAATGCGTAGTTAAGATTAATTGTTGATTTTGACTTAAATTTTATTCACATTTTTTACAGTACAAAAAGTGGCTTAAAGTTCAAAGAAAGATGGTTAAAATGCTTTATTACTCACCTAACTTAAACTTTATTTAAACTACTTCTCAGTTGTTATTCATCTTTGAGATGTTGCACTTCATTTGTCATTCGTTAGATTTCATTGCCCTCGTTCTTAATGTATTGCACGAACATCTTACGTG